CAGGTCGAGGCTGTGGTGGCCGGGAGCGGCCACTGCACTCCAGTCTGGGCAACACAGTGAGACTTCAACTCAAAAAAAAAAAAAAATTACTTTTCACTTAAATTCTGTAAGTCAGCCTTACCCTGATTTTCCACCAAAGGCTAACATGTGCACTTTCAGCACATATTTTACGTGATGCAATATAACAAACTTTAAAAAACAATAACACAGCAACAGAAGCAAAAAGCGTTTTCTGTTTGTTTTTTAAATCAGGCATTAATAAAAGCACTAAGTGTCAAAACTTACATCTGAGCCCACACTTCTCATGGTATTTTGAAGAACGGGTTTAGTCACAGAAAGTTTTCCATTCACTGGGCTATTTGCCACAGAGGTCGGTACCACATTCACCATGCGATTAGGTAGCTGTGTGATTCCCGCAGCAACAGCAAGGACTGGCTGAGCACAGGGAAGAACTCCAGGTGCCTGAAGTTGTACCATAGTAGGCTGAGAGAGCAAAACAGTCTGATCTGCATTAGAAAGAAGAAAAGGAATCAGATGGTGCATAACTATTATGGTAGGGGAAACAACATTTAGGTCTCTTTCACAGATTTGACAATTAATTAAAACAAGATCGATAGCAGCATATACTTGTGGTGACTTTGTTGCTGTATATTTTTATTTTATTTTGTTTATTGTGACATAGTCTCACTCTGTTACCCAAGCTAGAGTACAGTGGCATGATCATGGTTCACTGTAGCCTTGAACTCCTGAACCCAAGTGAGCCTCAGCCAAGTTAGCCTCAGTCTTCCAAGTAGCTGGGGCTACAGGCATGCGTCACCACAACAGACTAATGTTTTTTAAATTTTGTGTAGAAATGGGGTCTCACTATGTTGCCCAGGCTGGTCTCAAATTCCTGGCCTTAAGTGATACTACTGCCTTGGTCGCCCAGAGTGCTAGGACTACAGGCATAAGCCACTGCACCTGGCCCTGTTGTTGTGTTTTTAATGGAGCCAGTTAAATTCATTTTCTTTGAGTTACCATCAATAATATATTTTCATATTTATCTTTCTCAACTAAATATGTATCAAATTTGCTGTTATACATAGATTTCTCTAAGAATTAACCTCTGAAGTTTATCAGTGTTAAAAGGATTTGTCACATTATCAATAAAAAATCTTTTACACTGAACATAAAGAAACATATTTTAAATTAATAGGATTTACAAATACATACAATACCAAAAATATATGAACAGAAATTCAGTAACTCAATACTGGAAGAAGAGGCTGCAAAGAACAAAAAACTTAAAACCATTTGAGATACAAGCACAGTAAACATAAATCTGTAATTTAAAATTGTCTGTAAATAATACCAATCCTTCCCTCTCCCCTAAAAATGGCCTTCTAAACTTCTGTAAGTCTTCACATTTATCAATATTTTAAAGTTATGCTAATCTGAGGAAAATTCATACAGGTTGAACATTCCTAATCTGAAAATCTGAAATCCAAACTGCTCCAAAATCCAAAGCTTTTTGAATGCTGACATGACCCCATAAATGGAAAATTCCACACCCTGGTCCCAAGCATTTCGGATATGGTATACTCCATATGTAATAACAATAAAAATGATGTTGTTAACACTGTGGACAAAGTTCCAATAGATGACATGGTGAAAATGTGTGGTGGGCTTATTGAAGGACTAGAGCAGTATGCACTTACAAAGTAAGCATGTCTACTATGGTATAATCTCAGGCACCTGGAGTTCTACCCTCTGCTCAGTCAGTCCTTGCTTTTGCTGGGGGAGTCACACAGCAAACAGGAAATCCTGTCACTGTATAAAATCAAAAAGAGACTTCTAAGAAAAAACCGATGGTTAATGAGGCAGATGGCTCTGGACAAAACATTCTTAAAAGTCTTCTAGCAGAATGACTTCTCATCCCGACAGGACCCACTTCTAGTCCCTCAACTGCTTCTGATGTTTCCTCTTACCTTAAAAAATAACACACAGCGTACGGTAACTTTTTAATCCAACACAGGAGGAGACTGAAAGCTGCCACTGTTTGTTGTTGCTGTTGTTTAACAGCTGGCACAGGTATTCTGGTGATTCTACTATGCTGCTTAGTTACCCTAAACATGCTACCTTTTCACTCTATTAATGGTATGTCATATCTTTTTACTGTTCAGTATCCATGTGTGAATAAGTGTAAGAAAATGATGACTCATCAGTAGCATATAAATTCAGAGTCAGGAATGATGGCAATGCCAAACAACCACAGACTGTCCACATGGGTGGCTAAGATAGTGACACCTTTGTTTTCTGATAGTTCAATGAATACAAATTGTGTTTTATGCAAAAAATTATTTAAAATACAATTGCCTTCAGGCTATGTGTATAAGGTATGTATGAAACATAAATGAATTTCCTGTTTAGACTTGGATTCCATCCCCAAGATATCTCATCATGTATATGCAAATATTCCAAGACTCAAAAAAATCCCAAATCCTAAATACTTCTGGTTCCAAGCTTTTCAGATAAGGAATACTCAATTCAGATAAGGAATATCATTAACCTAACTCATAATACCAATCTATTAAAAATTTTACTTGCCTGCTAAGTGTTTTCTTTCAGACTTGGCCAAGATTTTTAAAAGGTGTTGAAAGCCTTGCCTAATAGCCACAGCTGCTTGAGTCTATCTAACAAAATAAAGGTACTACAATAACTGGCAACTAAAATTCCATATAAATTTAAAATTTTTCTTTAAGAAAAAAGCATTACACTTTCAAACACTTTAACATGATCCACTTAAAACTAAGCTCAGTATTTCAAAGGATAAGGGAGAACTAAAAATCAAAATAATGTTTTAGAACACCTGCTTGTCAAGAACATCTGTCTCGGCTAAAAAAGATCACTTTTATAAAATCAAAGTCTTTGTTGGCCTCAAAAAGCACACTAAAAAGAATAGAATTCAATTAATAGTATTTTATTCCAGATAAATTAATAAATTAGTAAGAAGAAAGATCTAAAAATAATTTTATAGATTTGGAATACATAAAATTTACTCAAATATAAATGACCACTACACATTTTTACCTTCTCATTTTCCCTTGGGGTCACTTCTTTTATGAAATAAAAGCATCGTGACCCGCCTGGGCAACTTGGCGAGATGTCATCTCTACAATAAATCAAAAAAAATTAGCCAGGTATGGTATCGCGCGCTTGTAGTTCCAGCTACTTGGAAGGCTGAGGCGTAAGGACTGCCGGAGCCCAGCAGGTTGAGGCTGCGGTGGCCAGGAGCGGCCACTGCACTCCAGTCTGGGTGACAGAGTGAGACTCCAACTCAAAAAAAAAAAAAAAAAAAAAAAAGAAAGAAAAGCATATAGAATGGAGAAATGACTCATAAGCAGTCATTTCTGCTTATATGCTCAGGCCAAATATGGAAATAAAAACAAGTAGTACATAAAGTAAATAGTATGTGACCAAGTGTGAGGTTTTAGTAATACTTAATAAGAAATTACAGTCAGTCAGGCATTATGAAAAGACATAGTCCCATAATAATTTTATGTTTGAGTTTTATACTCAAACCATAGGTTCCCAACCCTGAATATAAAAACTCTTCTTTAATATCCAAAAATGCAATGGTCACCCAAGAGAATCATGATTGTCCTTTAAGTTTCTATGGTTTGAGAAAATACATGATGAGAAAAGCTATTAGGAATTTACTAAAGATTTAAAATGAATTTGTAGTTTAGTAATCAGAAGTATAGCTAAAGAGCTGGGTGCAATGGCTTATGGCTATAATCCAAACACTTTGGGAGGCCAACGCAGGAGGACTGCTTAAGCTCAGGAGTTTGAGACCAGCCTGGGGAGCATAATAAGACCCTTTCTCTACAAAATCTTTAAATATTAGCTGGGTGTGGTGGCACAGACCTGTAACCCTAACTACCTGGAAGGCTGAGGTAGGAGGATTGTTCAAGACCAGGAGACGGAGGCTGCAGTGAACCATAATTATGCCAGTGCACCACAACCTGGGCAATAGAGCCAGATCCCATCTCCAAAAAAAAAAAAAAAGAAGTATTGTTACAGAAATCCAAAAAACAGATGCACAAGGATATATGAAACAAATTATATATTTGGCCTACAGAAAATGCTTGCTACAAATATGGATTTACAGGTGTTTTGCAAAAAGTCATAAGGCTACTACTTGCATTACCCTCACCCTAGTCTACAGATTGAGCACCAGTGACTGGAGCCAATCCTTTGAGAAGAACATTATAGGAAGCAATGTTCCACACTCTCTGTGTCATAATAAAAAGAACTCCCCCAAATTAAACACTGTTGAACATACTCTGAGACTATTCAAAGAACCGGAGGGGCTGTAAATAGTGAATTAAGTCGCTTCTAAGAAAAAGTCCAATTTCTAGCTGCAGTTAGAGATTTACACTAAGTTAGAGATTTAGCACTGGCAGGTAACACAAGCAGAGAGCTCCGTAATATTTCTTAAACTAATTAAGAAAAATAATCCAAGTCTGTACTATCCACTGTCTGGTTCTCACCATCTTCTTGATGACAGAACTGCATCACAGACAGGAGAGGGAGGAATACCAAGGTCTATGTGCCAAATGTGGCTGGAGTCCCACCAGTCCACTCCTGCTTCCTTTTTTCCCCAGATTGTTCATCAAGCCTCTTTGTTCCCAACTGCCCAACTATCCTCAAATTATCCAGCATCTAATTCAGGGATCTTTTAAATATTCTAGGCATGTTTAGATTCAAGGCAGAATGGGGATAACAACTAAATTTCTATTATAATGTGTTCAACTAAAAGGACAGAAAACTCTCATGGTGACTTGCTAAATGTTGATTAGACCATAAATTACAATGCAAAGAACCGTTTGAGGTCTTAAGTACTCAGCAGCTGAACACAGTTCCTTCTGTTCCTAGTGTGGAAACAGTTAAAAAGGACATACCAAGGCTGCTTATCCATTTCAGCATGTGCAAAATCCTCTCTGGCATTACATGCAAATCTCCCTTAATGGAACCCGGCTGTATTCAATGCTGGATACTTTTGACTATGTGTGACTCACTGATTTTGATAGTCAGTTTTCTTTTCAACTTTCTTCAAAGATTTCAAACTATGTATCCAACATTTATTAGATGCCTACTTTGTCTAAAATAGCATAGCTGTGTGACTCTGAGCAAATAATCTGTGCCTAGTTCTCTCATCTATAAAATGGAGATATTAGAACCTATCCTCACAGAGTTGATATAAGGATTAAATAAGATAATGCACTTAAGCATTTAGAAGAGTATGGCACTTAGTAAGAACTTAAATGCAATTGATTATTATTACTAATCTTTTTCTGTATATTAATAGCTTTCATAAGGGCACTGCATAAATTATTAATGCAGTAGTTCTCCGAGTGACTGTTATTTAACTACTTATGTAAACTTAACTTCCCAATTAAAGGATCGAATTTGTGAGAACAAGGACTACATCTTACCATTATTTTTGAGGCAATACATTATACTGATTAATTACATAGACTTAGAGTCTAGCCAGTTGGGCT